TACAAAATATTTCTGGAAAAATTATATCATAGTAAAATTATATTTGTGTAATGAAATCAGTAATCATCTATTATAATGAATAATTCGTTAACGCTATAATGAAGATTCTTATAATGAAGTTCTGATCAGCTGGATCGGTAACTTCATTATATCGATATGTGACTGTACTTATTTATTTTTATATAATAAAATTTTTTGCTTTTGAAAATATATTAATTATTTAACTGCTAATATATTCTTAAAATTTAAGTTTTTTTTTATAAATAATTTAAAAATGTAATTAAAAATTTATAATTTTATAATTTTTAGATGTAAAAATCTATATTTAATTCAAATTATAAAAAAATAATAATAAATTTAATATTTAATTAATTAATTAATTTAAATCAATATAATAATTATCTTATATTCATCTCTAATTTATCTTTAAATTAATAATATGAGTGATTAGCTATTAAGATTACCTTACAAATCATATAATTTATTATAATATTTCAATACTGATAAATTAAATTAAATATTTAAAAATTAATACAAATTACTTTTGATTCAACCCTAATTTAACTTTAATTAATCTTTACTATCAGTACAATAATCAATTCTAATTTAAAAATTGATATTTGTTGATTTAAAACTTATTGTTATTTAGAAAATTTATAATAAATAAGTTATAAAGCTTTTAATTTATAGTAATAAATAATAAATAACATCAAATCAGATTTTTTAACAAAATAAAATTAATATTTAATTAATTATAATTTAACCCTAGATTTTAAATTAAATTATTTATATAAACATAAAATATTTAATCCTATATTTAATGAGAAACGAAGTCTTCCATATATTATATCTTCTAATTTTTAATATAAAGACTGAATACTTTTGTTGTGTCTTTGTAAGACAAGAGATTTTAGATAATCACCTATCAACTCAAAAACCTGTAGTCTACCTGTAAGATATTTGTAATAATCGGATGTAAAATACCAGTGAAACTTTCTAAAGTAAACAATAACATTTTATTATAAAAATGTGTCATATCAGCCCATATGAATTTTAACCCAATTTCAATATTAATGCAAAGGAATCAATATATTAAAAGTTTATATACTTATAATAACATTTTATTATATCATTATATTGTAAAAATAAAATACCAAAATTTTTATTAACATTTTTACATAAAAAAAAATTACTATTTTTATTTTTATTCAATTATAGCAATAAACTAATAAACTATTGAAAATATTTGTCTTGCAAAAATAAACTTCAAGCTTCTTTTTAAGTTTTTTAATAAGTTTTAATTTTTTTCATTCATAAAATTACTTTACATAAGATTCAATGGCTTCATTATGAATAATTGCTAGTAAAGGAATGTCAGATAACAAGAACATCAAGTGATGACAGATTTGAGGGAGACGCGTTGTAAACTCTATCAATGTCCAGTGGAAATTTAATAATATTACCACGATATGCACTGATCGCTACAAAGACAGTATATTGAAACAATAGGAAATATTTGTGCAATCAACATTTCAGTAAGGTCTTATAATTCCTCTAGGACATCACCTGATTCCATGTAATTTGTTGCAGAAACTTTTTCACTGAATTTTTGTCACTGTAGTAGCGACGGCATACACCCATTATAATTTCAATAGATAGGAATCGTTCATTACACATAGGACAAAGGTTATTCATGAATCCATTAATCTTAGAGCGAAAGTCTTGTAGGAGTTTCTGTCCAACTTCAAAAGGTTAATATCTTAGCTCCGAGATTTATTTTGCTGTCGCTGGTTTTCTTTTTTATGGTATTGATCACGTTGCTTCTTTAGATGTTTTCGATGTGCTGCATGTTGTTCTGCAATTTCAACAGATCTTTTCACAAGCACGAGATTTTCAAGTTGGTCAGAAGTTTCTTGTGCTCTGACTTTTCGTTTTCGCAAAGTAGCATGAAGCGGGTTATCATCCATTTATATTTTGTGATTTTTAGAAACTATCAATTCGAATCAGTAGTTTATAACAAATTTTCAACAAAAAATGCAATTTAATTTTTTTATTATTAACAAAAATACAATTAAAATTTTTTTTATTAATAAAAGTAAACATATTTTAAATAATTTATTGATCATAATAAAAATTACACAGCTTTTATTATTACAAGTGTTATACGTGTCAACTTAAAACATTGTATGTTAATGCGGCATGACAGACAAGTCTGGTATGGCATAAAACGGAAGTGTCCTACGCTTACGCTTCAGACAATTATGACTGTATAGACCGGCCGTACTATATATGCTAGGATTTTGACAGTGACATTTTATTTGATTATTTCATTCTCCTTTATTTTATATACTGTATCATATCTATATTCTCAATAGAATTCACCGCACGCCATTTTTAACCTTACATTTAATTAATAAAACAATAAAACATTAAATGTCCTTTATCGTTCTTTATGAAACGACCCTTACACAAAGAAATATGGTTGGTTTTTAATTATACATTAATGTTAAAAATATTTGTTTTCCCACTTTATTTTCTAAGATAATAAAAAACTTCACGAAAAGAAGTCGATAGAATATTTGATGCGATTCCAACATTTGATCAGCAGTGAGTGGCTAGTTTCATGAATATCAATAAATAAAATTTTGTGGTAAAATATTTAACATATTCCGAGATCTACGTGATACAGTAGATACAATAAGACAATTTAAAGTTTTAGATCGCGAACAATCCTTAAACGGGCCGACTATTTTCAATGCAACCGGATAATTTTTTTATTAAAAACAAAACCTTTTATTTTTTTTATATTCGAATATATGTTTAAGATAACAAATTTCACATGAGGTATTAGTTATAAACTTCTTACATGTGAAGAAAATAACCCAATACATATTATTTTATAATGATCTTTTTTTTGGACTTATTTTTAGGAAGGAGATTGGTGACACTAAATCTAAATATGTGTATTGACCCGATTATTCTGCCGAAACATTTAAAGTTCAAAAGATACATAATTTTTTCGTATAAATATGACAAGTTACGTAAATAAACTGACTGTATCATCTCTTTTGACGGATATATCAAAATGATTGAATTTGCCCAAATAACAATAAAAAAAACTCCAATGTTAATTTCTACAGCGATAAGTCATTATCGTGAGGGACCACCTCAACCTTCATGGGATTTAAAATTTCATTTAGTTTTTGCCTTCATTAAATCAATGTTCAATGATTTCTGCGAACAAACAATTGAGCAAGCACAAAAATCCTCTTTCCGTCCCATTCCTGTACTAAATGGTTTAATTATAAATGAGTCCAAGGTAGACAATAAATATAGACATGAAGCTCAAATTCATCTTGAGAGAATTTTGAAACCCTATGAACACGTCTTGGATACCGAATGGAAAGATATAAAAGATGATGGAATCATTGCTGAATGGGTTCAGGTTCCTAAAGATGGATGGGAAAAAAGAGAAATTAAGAAAACCATTCTTTATTTACACGGTGGGGCTTATTATCTATGTAATAAAACTTCCCATCGCAAAATTACTTGCACACTTGCTAAAGATGCCAATGCGAGAGTTTTTGGTAAGTAAAAAAACCTTTTTTATGGATCTTTAAACCTTTCATTACAACGAATTTGCGTTAAAAAATTTAATTAAACATTCATTTTTATCAATAGTAATTGATTATCGGCTTGCACCTCAAAATCAATTTCCCGCCGCATTACATGATGCATTAGCTGCTTATTTATATCTCTTAAATCCTCCAAAAGATGCAGGATTTGAACCTTTAAATCCAAAAAATATCATAATTGCTGGGGATAGTGCAGGAGGTGGTTTGAGCATGGCGCTTGGACTTGCCATACGTGATGCTGGCCTGCCATCATGTGCCGGTATCGTCGGATGGGTAAATAAAAAAATCAAGTTACTGTGCATTATATAATTTAACAATGAGATTTTCATGATTTTATTATGCCACATAACAGAGTCCATGGGTCGATCTTACACTTAGCATGCAATCAGTTTTAAATGATGAATGTGAGGAAACCGATTATATTTCAAGCGTAGGTTTTCGACATAAAACTTCTAAAGTCGAAATTGATTATAAAAGAAAGGCTGCTGAACTCACGGCGAGAATTAAGAAACAAAATCTTGAACCAAAAATTTGGCATGATTCTTTTGATAGACCTGAAGGAAGAGTACTAATGTATGCTCCTAATGAAGCCATGGCAATTCCATACGTTAGTCCAATGTTGGCCGATAGTTTGTGCGATTTGCCTCCCTTATTTTTGGTGAGGAAATATTCACGTGACCTCGATCTTTTTTTGTGGCTTTATTGAAAAAAAATATATTTTTTTTGTTTGAACTATATAGGTAGTAGGAGGTGGTGAAAGGTTGCGAGATGAATCAATATACCTTGCTCATAGATGTGTTGAACCAACTAAATACAAAGGTCCGCATTATAATGCTGGTAAATTTGAAAAATCACCATTTCAAACTCCAACAAATACTACTTTAGATTTGTATGAAGAAATGCCGCACGTATTTCAGGTAAATCTTAAAGCAAAAAAAAAATTTTTTTAAATAATGTTTTAATAAATTAAAATTTTTACACTTAATATTTTAGATGTTTGAATCCCACCCTAGTTCTAAAGTTTCGATTAAACGTACAATCGAATTCATCAATAGATTGACAGACACTAATGAACTACTTCCTCCTTCATCTTTCAATCGCATAAATTGTAAAGGAGAAATCAATCCATTAAATGAAAATGATAAAGAAGTTCTTAAATGGAAAAACATTGGGATTTTACCAAGTCCAGAACCTATTGTAACCAAAGTTACTTCACGTAAATTGTAAGTAAATCCGATAACGTATGCAAATGCTTAGGATGAATCTGAACACGTTAATTTACTTGTAAACTTATATTAGAACACCGGAAGTTTTAATATATATATCATTATTATTGGCTATTGTCGCTTATTTTGTCTGAAAATATTTCGCATAAAATTAGGCTACTTTATTTTGTTAAATATGATTTTTTTGGTAATTATCTTCATTTTTTTTGTACTTCATAGGTCAAAATTTTTTTGTATAACAATTTAAATTGATATTTTGATTGGATGCTGAATGTTTTGAATTGTATCATCATAAACTCCTTGTTGCTTTTTGTTGTTTTTAAGCTCTTAAACTTGTTTTATCATTTATAATAGATCTGTATTCTTTTGAAATTGGTATGATTATTTTATTTCGCTTGCCTATATGTCAAATATATATATATTTTTTTTATTAAAAGCAATTTGAAATGGACCCAAAATCATCTGAGGAAATTCATAAACGCGCAATTTTTGTAGTTTATGTTTTAGAAAGTCTAATACAATGTATCAAACGAGGATTAATAATTATGAAATTGCGAATTGGTATTCAACTTTTAACTCGGAACAAGAGATTACTAAAGTTAATAAATTAACTGAAGAGAATGGTCCTAAAGAAAATCTCGATATCGAAATCATTGATAACAAATCTGATGACAAAAGGGAAGATGATAGAATCGATGATCGATTTGGAGGCTCTCGGTTGTCTGACTCCTCTACTCAACAAACTACTTCTTTACAAGATACTAATCTATCAACTTCATCTACATGTACGGTTCCAAAGTACATTTTGCAACACAACATTTGTAGAATGTGTGATCTTCGATTACATCGTAAGAGTATGGAACAAGGAGAAAGTTATCGTTATCGTCGTAACCTTCTTTTACCAAACTCAAAAAAAATGGTCTTCCTCTTAGTTCCAATTCAGGCATTTGTAATGATTATATAGAACACGAAATTGGTAATCCCGATACGATTGTTAAAGTTATGGTGGAATTGATTAATCTATTCTGAGTTACGTAATTGTATTGAATTTTTTTTTTTTTTGGTTGAAATGAAAAATATTTCTAAAAATTGATATTTACAAGGTCAATTAAAAATATTAACATAAGCATTAATAAATCGAATCGATACACGATCGATCCAATTTAAAAAGATATATTTATTATAAAGAAAGAAAGGATTAACTATCACAGACGAAACTCTTAAGTATATTATTTATGTGTCAACAAACATAAATCGCGCGCTCAATTGAAAATACTTAAATGATTTCTTTATGAATTACGCATATAATTTGAGGATGTTCAATCATCCAAACATCTTCTTCAAACCTTTTACCTCTGCATAAATTAATTTCTTTAACAGAATCATCGTCATCTTTTAACGCAAAACTTTTAAGTTTATCTAAAACGAATTCTAAAATTCTAAAATCAAATGATTCTTCGTTACATTTTAATAATTCACTAGCAAATCCCATTGCAGCCATGTCTGCCAAGGTTTTAGTAGAATATGTCGTATTCATTTTATAACTTTCAACTTTAGGACGGGTCTTGTGACTCGTTGTTGATGAACTATTCGAAGAAGAGGATGCTTCACTTTCTTGTAAGGTAGAAAGGATTTGTTTTTCATAAAGAAGTTCTCGACGTGCTTTCAATGTCTGAGACATTCTTGAAGAAATAGTCGCATTATTAAGAACTTCTTTATAAAATAAGGAATTGATTTTTAAAAATGATTCTGATGTATCAAGAAAAACCATAAAAATTGCTCCTCCCGGTTTTAATAACCCATAAATAAATTTAACGAAATTCTTTATATCATTGTAAGGGTCGACATGTGGCGCAGTAAAATCCGTTCTAAATATTCACATCGAGTATTCGTTAGTTTTTTTAAATTTTAAATGTTTAATTTTTTAATTGTTAAATTGTTCAATGAAAAAATAATGGAGATACTTGCAAATGGTAAATCATGTGCATACAATCAATGAAATCCAAACCTTTAGGGAGGGAAGGTAATTGAGACCTTCCTTCATCGGACAAAGATTCATCGTAATAATCTTGAATCTTTCCATTATAACTCATTCCTAATTTAATTAAACGTTGATATTTATTAATTCTTTCTTTATATAAATTAATAAATTGAAGGTTTGGTTCAATTATGTTGACGGTATAATCGATTTTCTGTCGTTCTTTACGACTTGAGAATTCTTTGGCGAAAAACCATTCGATTGGTTCACCGGAACCGGATCCAATTTCCAATATATTAAATTCATACCCTCCAATAGTCGAGACAGAGTCAAATAATGAATTTAATGTTGATTTTAAATAAGGTGTCATTAATTCCCTACTATTAAACGAAAAAAAATCGTTTGGACTCGTAGCAATTGAGATCCCAGGTTTTAATGATAAGATGATTTTCCTAAACACATAATCATACACTTGATTATTCTTGGAATTTTTCAATTTCACAAAAAGTTGTTTTTCGGCTTCTTGCTCTTTTGATGAATTAACGATATCTTTATACGATGTCATTATTTTTTTTTTTTTTTACAATAGAGAGAGCGTGTGATGAAATTCATCATTTCATTCCCAAGTTTTTAAATTTAAAGTTTGCTTTTTCATGTGAAATTTGGTTTTAAAAAATTTGATGATCATGATGACTTAATAAATGATTAACCTTGATTTTTGTTTTTTTTCCGGAAACAAAAATCCGTCACAAGACTGATAAATCTTTAATAAATATTGATACCTTTTTCTCACGTTTAAATAACCTCTTTAAGAATTTACTTTCACAAATATTAATTTGACGGATTTTATTTTTAAAAAAATGGCATCAATTCGTTATGAAGTTCAATATAGCACTATAGAAATATTTGAAAATTTACTTAATTATACACATAAAGGTACAAACAAACAAATCCGATTAGATGCTAATTCGCTTTCGTCGGAAATCTCCAAATCAAAACCCTACCAAGATGGTACTTCTATCCCTCGTCCTCATATCGCTGAAAAACAACCTCACCCAATCATTCAAGTAATAAATGATGATTGTTTGAATCATGCACTCAAATTAAAACGTGAAGGATACAACCCTATTGTATTAAATATGGCAAATGCTGAAGTCCCTGGTGGTGGTTACAAAAATGGTGACGCTGCCCAAGAAGAAAACTTATTTCGTAGAACAAATTTATTTCAATATCATGAACCAAAAAGATATGTATGGTATCCTATTCCTTTAGATGGTGGTATTTATTGTCCTAATTCTACCGTTATTAGAGCCAGTGAACAAGAAAATTATGAATTTTTGGAAAACCCTGAAATAATGTCATTTGTGGTAATATATGCCTTGAGTTGAAAAGTTTCTAAAATTCGAAATTGGGAGAATTGATATATTTTCCTGATCGGTTTTTGTAGGCTGTTGCTGCCATATGTGACCCTCAACTTGAAAATGAAAATAATGAATACACCTTGAATGAACAAGACAAAGAAATAACTCGAAGAAAAATTCGCACAATATTAAACATCGGATTAGATAACGGTAAAAGTTTTCTTAGAATTGAGTTAATGTTTGAATTTTTTTTTTTTTTATAAACTGTTTTTATTAGGTCATGATGCAATTGTATTAAGTGCATTTGGATGTGGCGCATTCAGAAATCCACCTTCAACAATAGCGCGATTATTTTATGAAATTATTAGTAAAGAATATTTTGGAGATAAAGAAAATTTACCTAAAACTTATAAAAATATTTCTTTTGCTATCTTCGATGATGAAAATGCTAAACGATGGAAAAATAACGAAGGTAATTTTTTACCATTTAAAAAGGTATTTGCTAATGGAATTTAAAATTAAGAAACGAAGGATTTCAAATGAAGTTAAAAGGGATCTTAAGTTTTTTTTTTTAATTTACTGTATATATCATTATTTTTTATATTTGTATACTTTATTTCGCAATTTTGATTAAATACTACCAAATTGGAAATTACGAATTTAATGGTAATTTTGAAAAGATCTGTATGTCTTATTTTGGAGGCCATTCTAAATCAACTTCCAACACATCTAGAGCCATAATATCGGCATAACAATCAAGTAAATCTCCTAAATTTGGCTTAGTCCTACCTAAATCTCCATGAATAAATTCTTTAATATATCTGCAAATTAGTCAAGGAATTTAATGTGAAAGTATACAAACAAAATGAAATATCTTGGAAGCAAAAGAGGATACGTTCCAGCTTCCGTTCGAAGTTGTAAAGTTAGAAAATGATTTTCCAATGGTTCTGCCTTCATTGAATAAATTATCTTTGATCGAACCATTTGAGCCCGTCTAAAATAAAGAAATTCGCTTGGTTGGTTTGAAAGTTGAAAAAAAAGCCATGTTATATAATGGGTACCTTTGAAGAACTCTAATAGGTGTTTGTTGTTGTATTGTGAATACCTTATCTTGATATTGATTAAGTTTATCAATGATATCGGGAGTGACGATCTTGGAAATCCATACAAGAGCACTATTCATTAAACATAGGCATTACGATTAATATAAATAAAAGTATTTCTTAAATTGCTTCTTTTTATCATACCTATAGGTTTTTTTCTTGTTTTCTTCTCCTTCCTTGATTATAGATAGATCTTTTCTTTGTAATTAATTAAAAGGAAAGGATTAAATATATTAAACCTTTTTCAAAAGAATATCATTAAAACTTACTCGGTAATCATTGTCAATTGACTTATTTGAATCAAATCTTTTTTGGTTTCATTAATTTCTCGTTGTGCTTCATCTAATTCTTGCTGAGAGAGAAAAGGTCTTCTTGGATTCATTATTTCAAAATAAAACGGTCTACCATTACCTAACATTCTAACATTAGAATCTTCTCTGCCAGCTGCTACAAAATTATAATCTACAAAATTTTTATTATAAAATCGATTAAATACAAGTTAAATCAAAGAAATAAACCAAAAAAAAGTACACGATAATTTACCATCACATTTAAATTTTTCCCTTAAAATTTCGCCAATACATTCAGATACAGAAGTCTCAGCTAACCTCTCCCCATTAATAATCCAAGGTGATTGACTTATATTTCTCGATAATTTAATATAATTACCTCCAACGTATATAGCTGCATGTTCTAATATCGGATAATGGTTTTTCCATCTTTCTTTTACTTTCAATGGTGGACAGTTTCCAATGCTTAAATAAAAGAGCAAACCTTTTTGTTTAAAAAAAAAAAGATATAATAATTTTTCTCATCTCTTAAATTTCACGTAAAACTTACCTTATGAACTCAGAATCTGGGGTCTTTTCTAAAGCCGCAATGATATTCTGTCTTGAATGCCCTGTCCACATAGCTTTACCTTTAACTCTAACTTTCTTTAATTTAAATCCGGATAAAGGTATACGAGTAAGTATTAAATGATTTTGTTGTGTATCTTCATGATAATATGCTATAGAAATGTTGAAAGGGCTTTGATAATGATATTTTAATCCTAATTCTTTCTCAATAGACCATCCTAGCAAATGTTTAAAAGGATCTTTTAAGTCTAATATGTTACTAAGATCAACACTTAAATTTCTCTCTCTAATTTAAATTAAGATATCTTTTTAGAGAGATGTTTTATTTTTTGAAATCTTCAAGTTTTATAATTACATACCTGAATTTTTTTCTAACATATACTTTGATAGAATGATTATTAATGATAATACCGGAGGGTAACGAAACCGACAAGTTAAAAGTTTTAACTTGAAAATTATGTGAATTAAATCCCTCAATAATCGGCCATAAACATTCTATCGTATCGGCTTGATAGAGTAAATCAAAACAAGCCATACAAATTGGTTTTTCTTGTGTCTTGCATAAAAGAATGTTTGTTGATGGATGTTCTTCTCCTTGGTTATCCGAAGAAATCTTATCTTCATTTAATCTAATTCGATTTAAAAGTCTAAGTAATACCTAAAAAATAAATTTATATATGAATCAGAAAATAAAGAATAAAGATAAAAAAAAAACTAGATTCAAATGATACTTACTTCTTCGGATGTTGCATAACATTTATGATCCCGAACACCTAAAAATCTGAAGATGCATCGGGCACAACATCTTATTTCAAGCAATGTATCGATTATAATTCGATAAGTTGAATTTGCATAATTTGTCATTACATATTCCAAAACGTTCGAATAAAGCGTTTCTAATATACATTAAATATTTTAAAATGAATCAAATTTAAAAAAAAAAACTTTTGACACATGATAAGAGATAAGAGAAAGGAAAAAAAGGAATTTCTGAATACCTTCATTGATTTCTTCACTATATCGAATCCTTTTCCATCTATCAGTTTCATCAGAAATCCTAATTGGTGGTATCAATTCTATTTTTTCAAAAAAAAAAATTATTCAATACATGTATGATTTTACTATCACATTAATTAATCATGTACCATGATCATTTTCCCAAAATCTTTTCCTTAACATATCTTAATTGAGTTTGAACGAAATGGTTGATCATGAATTTAGGTTTTTTTTTTTTATATAAAAATAAGGTGACACGATCGACGATCATTTTTAAAAATAAAGCACTGGCTAGGTAATACGAGAAAATCGGTTTTTTTTACAAACTTAACCCTATTAACTAGCCAGTATTGGGGCTCCTTAAGGAACCACCCCTTCTTGTGATACACATCATGTTGGTAAACAGTTGAGTCGTGATCTGTCGATCAATAATCATCATTTGTTTTTTTTTGTTAGAATCAGATCAAATATTCTTATCATTTTTATCTCGTATTATCTTAATAGACAAAGTCGGAATACAAACATTTTAATATTAACGTAATAGATTTTTAAGTGATCCAAAACTAATTCTATTTCTTTTATATATGGGTCATTTTTTTTTATAATGATTGATTAAGGGCATTTTATGTTTTGATTGTTAATATCTTATCATATTACATGAACATTTCATTTACTTAATTAAATATTGTAATACATTTTTTTATGCTTATTTATTAATTAAATCGAATGTAAGGTTAAAAATTGGCATGTAGCAAATTTTATTGAGATTAGAGATATATTACATAAAATAAAGAAGAATGAAATTATATAATAAAGTGTTACTGTTAAGATCCAACATATATAATTGGGTGATCTATAAAACATTTATAATTTTTATAGGTTGATTATGATGATCAGTTTATATGAAGTTTGTTTCAAGATCATATGAGTTTAAGATTTGATAAATTCAAATTTTAGAAAATAAGAATAAGTTTTTTTAGAAATTATCATATTTTAATTTTTATTTTGTATTTTAGGATATTAATTAAATTGTTTGTGTATATAGAAAATGATTACAGATAATTTAATATGTATAAATAACATTTAATAATTATTATAAAAATGGTACATAATAAAAGAATATAGAATTAATTTGATTTAGTTTTGTGATTTTTAATGTCTAGGAAAGTTTAGGTTTGATTGTAATATGCGTTAAAATCTTAATCATTCTTTGATCTGTCATGAAAGCTGATATGTCGAGATGTGATATATCAACATTTTCCCATGTAGAACATCTGCTAAGTACGACATATGCTTGTCCTAATGCAAAAATGTTTTGATCTAATGTGAGAGAGACTTTTGGTAATGTTAAACTTTAGGTTTTATGTACTGTGAGAGCGAAAGAATTCTGAAGTGGATATTGTATATGTTTACAATTATTTCCATATAATTCAAAATAGTGTGTTTTTTTATAAATTGTAGTATCTATAATAGAACCTCTGACTGAAAAAGCAACACAGACATTTTCATTTTCAATATCAAAGTCTGTAATTATACCAACAGTACCATTACAAATTCCTTGTTGCATCAAGGAGTTGTCTAGAAATATGACATATGCACCTGTTTGAAGTCGAACAGAAGTTAAAAGTTTGTTTTTGTTTTAAACATAGATTCAGAATATGATGGATCACATTCAGTAGAATCTATCGTATCTACTGACTGAGAGATCAAAAATTTTCCATTAGACACAGGCAACATATTACAGATCATTCTATTGATTTGTTAGGCAGTTTCTCTATATCTGACAATATTAGTTGTATTCAGCAAGGCATTAATAGCAGATCGTGATAAGAATTCAGAATGTCATCTTTGTAGGATTTGTCATGTTTGAGAGGTTATGTTACCTATTCAGATTTCTTCTAACATTCTATAAAAAGGATTATCTGATTGTTGTTATTACGGGTTTGTTAAAAATAGAGGATAAAATAATCTCTAACATGTTGCATAAAATACTAGTTCGCCAGTGACTGGAGGCAATTGTGCAAGATCACTAACAACAATCACGTTTATACCTCCAAAAGATGTAGCATTACTATTGAGGTTCGCAAAAATGTCAGATATAAAGTCGAATAGTTTTGTGAATTCCATCGATATCTCTTTAATTATTATTGTATCAATAAGTCTTAAACATTCGTTAAGCTCTTGATTTGCATAAGCTCAGATACAAAAACCTTTATGTGAAGTTACAATCTGTAAAGTAGAATGTATAGTTATTCCTCTAACATTTTGTGCAGCAACTCCAGTAGGTGCTAGTAAGAGATAATTTGATCCTCTTTGGTTAAGAACATTGGTGATTGGTTTTAATAGGTATTATTTACCAATTTCTGCAGATCCAGTAATAAAGTAATATGACTATTTATTTCCATCATTAGGACCCATATATGAAGTGATAGTTGATAATACATGATATTGATCTTGGGGTAATTCAAGAACTGCAGTTTAGGGGAAATATATAAGGAAGTATTTTAATATTTTCTAACTGCATCTTTATGATATTTTGAATATTATAGGTATCTCATATTGTAAAGATACTAATAATCTATCTAACATTTCAGAAAATTAATTATTTAGATGAGTTACGCATGATTGATTTCTGCTTGCAACCTCATTATGTAAATTATTCAAGTAATCTGAAAATAAGGATAAAATTTTTTCACGATAAGTTCTATTTGAACCTATTCTATAATCAGACTCATTTCTGGCAGGAATTATCAAAAGCAGTTTTTGATAGAAGAATAATTCCGCATAGAGTTCTGCAAAAATCTGATTCAATCTGAATCTAATTCAGATCCAACGGATCAGATCGAATCAGATTTATCAGATCTGACAGACCAGATTTAGATTTGGATTTTGATTTAATTCGATCTGTCAGATTTGAATTGTATTTGGATTTGGATTTGATTAATCCATGAATTCAGATTTGGATTCAGAATCGATCTGTCAGATTCAGATTTGGATTCAGATCCGATTTATTAGATTTAAAATAAAAAATGCTGTCCTGAAGTCAGACACAGCATTTATTATTAAAAAATCTTAATTTTAATAATAAAATGCCGCCCAAAAGTCAAATACGGCATTTATTATTAAAAATTGATTTTTATTAATTTTTAATAACAAAATGTCATCCTAAAAGTTAAAGGTGACATTTATTAATAAAAAATTAATAAAAATTAATTTTTAATAACAAAATGCCATCCTAAAAGTTAGAGGCGGCATTTATTAATAAAAAAATTTAATTTTTAATAATAAAATGCCGTCTTAAAAGTCAGAAGCAGCATTTGTTATTTAAAAAATTTTATTTTTAATAATAAAATGCCGCCCAAAAGTCAGACGGCATTTATTATTAAAAATTAATTTTTATTAATTTTTAATAACAAAATGCTGCTGTTCCAAAAATCAGAGGCAGCATTTATTATTAAAAAAATTAATGTTGAATAATAAAATTCCGCCTGAAAATTAGATGCGGCATTTATTAATAAAAAAATTAATTTTATTAATTTTTTATATAAAAATGCCATCCTGAAAGTCGGACACATCATTTATTATTAAAAAATTAAATATTAATAAAAAAATTAATAAAAATTTATTTTTTATATAAAAATGGCATTCCGAAAGTTAGACGCGGCATTTATTATTAAATAAATTAATGTTTAATAATAAAATTTTGCTTCAAAGTCAGATGCGGCATTTATTAATAAAAAATCAATTATTATTAATTTTTTATATTAAAATGCCACCACAAAAGTCGTACAAAACATTTATTATTAAAAAAATTAAATTTTAATAATAAAATGCTACACCAAAAATCAGACGTAGCATTTATTAATAAAAATTAATTTTTATTAATTTTTTATATAAAAATGCCATCCCAAATGTCAAACATGACATTTATTATAAATAAATTAATATTTTATATTAAAATGCCGTTCTGAAAGTCGGACATGGCATTTATTATTAAAAAAATTAAATTTTAATAATAAAATGCCGTTTTGACTGTCAGAGGCAGATTTTTTTAAAAAAACAACAAAATTGTTGTTTTTTTAACATTAAAACGTCGTTCCAAACGGCGGAGGCAGATTTTTATTAAAAAATTTTTTGATCCGTCAGATACGAATACAGATTTGGATTTATCAGATTCAGATTTGGATTCAGATTTGTCAGATCTAGATTAAATCAGATTCAGATTTTTCAGATTCAGATCAAATCAGATTTTGCCTAAATCTGATCTGATCTGATCTATGCAAAACACTAATTCTGCATCTTCTAATTTGAGAAAATGATGTTATGTTATAATCTTTTTTGAATGTTTTACGACAAATTATTAAGACTGTCTTAAAACAACTGTCGTGTAGGAAGGTCTTGAAGGAGTGATAGAGTAAAATTGAAAATATTGAAGATACATTAGGTTTTCAAATTCAGGATCTTGTGGTCAAGATATATATATTTTGTAATATTATCATCATAATATGGGTTATCATCTGTCTCATCTATCATGTATATAGAAAGTATAACTCAAATTCTCGAATTAGGCAGATCTGTAGTAAGAAATTTTACTGTAGCTGATGAATTACATATTTGATATCTAGGAGTAAGAACATTAATTCCATCAAATCAAGTCTTCGAGCAATGACATATTCTCTTAAAATATCACCTTCTTGTATATTAAATATATGTGAAGGTTCTCTTTTAACAATGTATTTTATCATATATCGAGCAAATCCTCTATTAGTTATATACTGAATATTCATGTGAGTATTTTATAATAAGAGAATAGTTAGGTGATATGGAACTACCCAAGAATCTGCATCAGTCAAACATTTGTAAACATAATGGGAGACATTTTCTTCGTAATGAGTTATTTGATTGTAAGTATGTGGAAAACCTTTTTTGCATGTTTGATCTAGTGAAGCAGGACCATGACACTTATGATTACAAGTATGTATTTGATTAGCTATTATAGATGCATATAATTCAGACTCATACAAAGGATCAGATATCATTGAACAGATAATATTATTTGTTATCATATCTGCAATAGTATTATCTGTCCAATAACAGTTATGAGTATGTGCTGCATCCCTATTTTAAAATTCAACTCAATCAAAAAAGTCTGTAATTCTACCAAATCCTGTAAGTTCAGATTT